TGTCGGAGTAGAACCTTCGACTGTCGGTCCAGAAGTCGGGTGCGCTTACTCATGCGCCAATGTAACAAGCCAATGGCGTTTCCTTTCTGGTTACTATGGAACCAAAAACCTTAGATTAGAAAAACCTTAGATTTCAAATCAGCTGCATAATCATCCATGCATCACATGCAAACACAACGAAAAAACATGTAATACTCGGGTACTACCGCGGTAAAGCTATTGCATAGAATTTTTTATTAACTTATACAATTATAATTAGACAATAATAATTTAATAATAAACAATAATAAAATAAGACCACGCTATATTTGTAAACATTAACAAAAGCAAAACATTAACTGTCCCCTTCACTCATAAGCTAGACCGCGCGCGAGAGAGATGGGCAGACTTTTCATGATGCGCATGTAATGCGACGTCATGCCGCGCGCTTATTCACAAACACTACACAAGCGCAACGTGTGAATGTGTTGAATGCAAGCTACAAGGTAGGCGGAGTGGGGGTGTTAGGTTTTATTTTTGTTACGGAATTTCTTGATTCGGTCGCCGCGCTCAAAGCCCTCAAAATATTCTTTAATTTATAATAATGATTAGTAAATTCGGAGTGCATACCAAATATTCGTTTGGTTCACGTCGGTGTAAGCCCCCAGTCTCTCCCAACTCCCATATCGACGGAAGAGGATTGCACGGACACAATGTGCATGTCACTACCATCAATCCGATCCCTTCACGTGTATAGCTTAGATACGGCATCGAAGATAGATTAGCTCGCCTCACCCGGTCCGGCTCTTCGGCCTAGTTTATGATCTGTTCGAGGAATGCGGTTTTGATGTTAACGCTCGCTGGTTTTGTGATTACGTCCAATTCGAGTTGCCTCTTAATTATCATTGTGTTATCGGAAATGTTCTAGAAAATTTGAGACATTTTGTATTGGCTGTGATATCGTCAAATAGCACCTTTTTTTTCCTACCTAAGCTGATAGCCATGAGAGGCTATTTCAGCGTAACCTTAACTAGTAGGTGAGTTCACGGGGCTCAAACTGGAGTGATGCTAATACTAACCCTAGCAAGAGCAGTGCTTCGCATAATCTACCACCGGATCGGAAACGCGACCCACTGAAAAGATCCGGCGAGAAACTCAGTGGGCTGAAAATAGCACGCAAGAGTGGCGATAACATAGAAAGACTGGGACGGTGGAAGGCAAAAGACCGAAGGGCAAGTCCCCCATGCGCTGATCAGACCAAATCCACACGGCACTGAACACTACCGTATGTGAAGCGGTCCACGCCGTTGAGGACAGATCGACTTGAGGTGATATAGTCTACCGGAAGATTTCGATCTCACCGAGGTGACAAACCCCAGTTTTTTATTTATTTATTTTTATTGCTTAGATGGATGGACGAGCTTACAGCCCACCTGATGTTAAGTGGTTAAGTAAGATGTTAAGCCACCCACCTCGAGATATAAGTTCTAAGGTCTCAGTATAGTTACAACGGCTACCCCACCCTTCGAACCGAAACGCATTACTGCATCACGGCGGAAATAGCATTGAGGATTTATGGCGCAAGGAGGAGGAGGTGATAGCGTTGTAGAGACGACATCAAGGAAGATAGTAATTAGTTTTATTCGAAGCGAAACAGCAAACGGATTACCTGAAGCGAAGTGTTGACTATTATGATAACTTTATTTTTTATTTTTTATTGCTTAAATGGATGGACGACGAGCCCACCTGGCGTTAAGTGGTTACCGGAGCTCATATACCTTATTTAAAAATACAACTAGCAATGTTTTTATTTTATTTCGGTTACTGGAGCCCATAGACATCTACAATGTAAATGCGCCACCCACCTCGATATATAAGTTCGTAAGATCTAAGATCTCAGTATAGTAACAACGGCTGCCCCACCCTTCAAACCGAAACGCATTATTGCTGCACGGCAGAAACAGGCGGGGTGGTGGTACCTACCTGCGCGGACTCACAAGAGGTCCTACCACCAGTAAGCTGTCACTTTTACCAGTTTACTGGTGATAGGGCATCATGTGAGTCCGCAAGAGTGGGTACCACAACCCTGCCTATTTCTGCCGTGAAGCAGTAATCCGTGATCCACGCAGCCGAAACTGTGGACGGAAAGCTACTACATAGTTGAGCATATAATACAATTGAGAGATGGATTACAAGCGTCACGTCTAATTGTGGTTTGATAAACTAATTATTACTGGTCAGCGCACAAGGCTTGTGTGAAATGAGACATACTGCACATACAATATGACAAAAGTAATTTATTTATACGAATGATTTTTTATTGAAAAATATGTGGTGGTTAACATAATATTCTAATGTCGTCCGGTAGTATTTTAGTCCTCAATGGTGACCACGTAATCTGTTAAGTTTCCGAAATGTCAGAAATAATACAATGACAATAATATCTAATACAACAAATACTACTACAACAATACTAGCTTAATTAGACTGTCAAGATATTTTTGGTTAAATATTCGTTCTTTTGTAGTATTCACTCCGTACACGTCATTAACCTCTTCCGGAACATTGGAACATATTAAATGTGCATTTGGTATTTTTGTTATCCTGTGCGCGATTTAGTAAAAATTGATTGTATATTAAAACTGTTTGTTTTAAAGAAATTTTAGATTTTTATGAGTAGTTGATTTATTTAAATTTTAAGTTTTTTAATTAAATTTTAGATCGTATATTTTTATGAGTAGTTGACTTATTTAGTATAAAAGAAATATGTTATTGACATTCAAAGTTATAGTGTAAGTTATGTCTGTCTGTTTAGTGTCAAAGCAATCCAATGAGGTTTCCTCTATATTTGTTGTGCGATTAATTGTTATTGATCAATGATTCCGATTATCCGATATAGTATTCGATAATCGCAATAAACGAATGAATGAATAGATTAGATTAGATTATTAGATTTGTAGGGATGCGTATCGATTACATTAATAACTAGCGGCCCGCTCCGGCTCCGCTCGGGTCTTTAACAAAAATTTCAACGATATTTGACGTTGTGTTACTTTTTAAAATAAAGAGCGCTTATTACGGCATAACTATAATAGTTAGACATATGTTGACGCGACACTTTTTGTAAATAATAATGCGTTCTACAAAGTCGCAGTACATTATTTTATGCTATCATCAATAATTTTCGCAGGGCACGCGATGTAAAGAATATTTTAGGTATTTTTTTTACACCTTGGGTTACATTATTGGAGTTTTAGTAAGGATCCCTAATTTTTTCCAAAAACGATTATAGCCTATGTCACTCGGGAATAGTGTAGCTTCCAAACAGTGAAAGAATTTTTCAAATCGGTTCAGTAGTTTCGGAGCCTATTCAATACAAACAAACAAACAAATCTTTCCTCTTTATAATATTAGTATAGACTAGTATAGATATTGCTGCGTGTGTCACTGTTTTATCAAGATTCATAAATATGTCAATAGCTTACTTTATACTATTACAAAAACTGTTTTTAAGGGCGCCTAATACTTCGGCGCTGATATAAGCGTCATATTTTACATCACATTATATGCTAATTACATGCACAACATAAACATTTTAATGGGATGCCATTAAATAATAGTGATTCCAAAAATAGAGAACCGTGAAGTTTAAACCAATACCTACCATGGATTTTTGAGTTATGAGTATTTCAGTCATTACTTTTCTACATTACTTTAGAGACTTTAGACACGACCCACTGAGTTTCTCGCCGGATCTTTTCGGTAGGTCGCGATTCCGATCCGGTGGTAGACTCAGCTAAGCACTGCTTTTGCTAGGGCCTGTGTTAATAAGTTCTCCGTGAGCTCGCCTAACCAGAGTAGTTAGAGTAGCACCTTAGGGCTTAGGCGAATAGGTAGGGAACAAAAATTGAAGAAAAAATACTATTTACAAAGAAAGCGAAGGTAGTCGAGTTTTTTCGGTTCTGTTTTATTCTGACTGAGCCGTTGTAACTATACTGAGACCTTAGAACGTATATCTCAAGGTGGGTGGCGCATTTATGTTGCGGATGTCTATGGACTCCAGTAACCACTTAACACCAGGTGGGCTGTGAACTCGTCCATCCATATAAGCAATAAAAAAAAAATACAAAGAAAGCGAAGGTAGTCGAGTTTTTTCGGTTCTGTTTTATTTTGACTCTTCTTGGAACCGATGGTTGAGTTTATTTTGACTTTCAATATGTTAAATGACATCTCAATATATATACTTAATAGTTTTTTTACTGGTGGTAGGACCTCTTGTGAGTCCGCACGGGTAGGTACCACCGCTCTGCCTATTTCTGCCGTGAAGCAGTGATGCGTTTCGGTTTGAAGGGTGGGCAAGCCGTTGTAGCTATATTGAGACCTTAGAGCGTATATCTCAAGGTGGGTGGCGCATTTACGTTGTAGAAGTCTATGGGCTCCAGTAACTACTTAACACCAGGTGGGCTGTGAGCTCGTCCACCCATCTAAGCAATAAAAAATAAAAATAAAAAATTCTCAATGAACTTTACAAATTCGTTTTCCGAAAAATGCTAATGGAACACGATAAGCCATCATGACAAAATGTGTAAAATTAAAAGATAAAATAAAATGAAAAATTAGAGAATCATTTTTATTTAATTACACATTTACTTACAAAGGTACTTTGTATAAAAACTATAGTACTACATAATATAATCGCACATTTAAAAACTAATAAAAATGTTAATGTTAAGGGTGATTTTTTTTTAATACATTTACAAAGTTTTTTTGTTTATAAAGTTCCTATCCTATTTTTACAGAGATGGCCAATGATAATTTAATTGTTTTATGTCTAAATTATTCTTATACGTATATATTACAAGCGCTAAAACGAAAAAACACATAGTAACATGTAAATAATAAGGAAGGAAAAAATGTTAAACTGAAGTAAGATAATAGGCCTCTTCATTTGGTTTCACGAACACCAACCTATTAAAAAGATACAAACTTAATCTAATTAAAGCAATTTTATAGTCATTAGTTCGAATGAATTAAAATTACGGAAGGAGCTCTAAATTAACAAAGTAGAATAAATCCAACTAGTTGACATTAACTGTTTGTTGCCAAATTCTAAGTGATAGCTTAGTACCAAGAGATAAAAAAAAAACACTAAAATTACCGAACAGGTACACCTTATATCATGAACTAAGGGAATGAAATAGCGAATTACTGAGTGGCGATATTCAAATTTGTCACAGATGAAGATGGAGACACAGTTGAATCAATTTGGGAAACTGGAAGCTCCACCTTTATATATGAGTAGAAACTGTAGATACGGAGACATTAGATATTCCAGGCTTCACTTGGTTAGCATTGAGGTCTTCTTTTTGCTGTACCCGTCTTTTTGGGCCCAGAAGGAGCTTCTGAAGTTGGCAGGCGGGTGCTTCAACGAATAAGTACAGTGGCAGAGCGAATAAATACGTGGTGCTTACGATTCCGGCGTAAAGCATAATCTGAAAAATAAATTTATTGACTCTTAAAGTATTCTGTATATTTGTTGGATATTTGTTTAATTACATCTTATAGTTAAGATTTTATAATATTTAACCGGCTCAAAGGTTTCGCTACTAGACCATTGCCAGTGCCATTTAATCTGAAAGGAAATTATTTTATTCTCATTCGAAAATAAAAATTATTGTCTCTCTGAATTTATCAACTATGATAAGTTAAATACCAGGATATTTACATTCAGGTATTTCGTTGGGTTTACGTGAACTCTCTGGACACAACGAAAACTGCTTTTGGAGTTTAATACGCATATATGTACGATAAAAAGTAGACGTAACCGGCATAATGTTCAAATACTTCAGCTATCTATATCACCACGAAAACTATACAGTATTCGAAACGGCGGAAAAAATAATCATATTCAATAACAGTGAGGTTTAACTTTAAGCGTAGTCTTGTTTCCATTGAGGCTTTTAGGGCTTAAGCATGTTTGAATCTTACCGAATTTGAATACGAATATTTATTATTAGTTTATCAGTAAATGAAGATAAGGCACATAGTATTACTATATATCACGCGAGTTCGACGACCCGTTCCCAAAATAAAAACAAAACTGAACAAGAAAATTCGTATTATTCAAATGAGATGCCTTTTTGTTCTTTCTTTGGAGTTTAGGATTCTCCAGTGGATTTTCGTCTTCAAATTCCAATGATAAGTCCAGTGGATTTTTTTTGATTATTATACCATTATAAATATGATTATATTTAGAAATAGCATTTACTTACAGCTTAGTTACTAGAGGAAGAGGTAGACCTAAGAAAAAATGGATGGATTGTGTGAACGACGATATGTGTAAGAGTGGAGTGAGCGAAGAAATAGTATATGAAGAGTATGGAAGGTGAAAACATGTTGCGCCGACCCCAAGTGACTAGAAGAAGGGCAGGGGAATAATGAGTATTTACTTACAGCTGTATAATCAGTAGCATAGAAAGACCGTCTCATCTGACCACCGTAGGTCCTCAAAATCGTGGCGTGAAGCAACATGGCGCAGTAAGACATCCTTCCCAAGGGTTGCAAGGGACCCCACTCTACCGCGCTCACGTAAATCTCTGAAAATTATAACTTATGAACGTCTGTACATAGACATATATACAGTACGTCAATAGACAGTGCTCTGAGCTTAAATCCGTGATAGACGTCAATTTAATATCTGTCTTTTTAGAGATATCAGTTTTGATTAATTAACATCGTAACACTGTAAAATACAATTCAGAGTTCGCTTCTGAAGGTGGCTGGAGTTAGTCATGATCAGATGTCTATGTACCTTACCTTACTTTAATACCAGATGGAGTGTGAGCCCGTCTACCCGTATATAAAAAAAAGCGAAGGCATATATATGCGCAACGCTCTCCGCGTTCCAGACCGGATTATGAGGGGTCGGCAAAGCATCTGATCATGCTGCATAGGGATATGGCATGAGTTTTACGATCGACCGCTTATCTGAAGTCAACCCTTCTTGGGGATCGCATGGGACCATTATTGTGGTAGCCATAAGAGGTCCCACAGTCGTCTTTTGCGACACGCATGCAAGATATGGGTAGGTCCATTAGGTCCGTAGGTCCTAAGCCAGGAGCCGCATGGCAGATTTCGTGCGTCAATGAATTGTAAATTAAATTATATTACACAAAAGTAGCATTAGCATTTTGGAGGTTACCAACTGCCTGTCTTGGTTTTTGGGAACGATTCTAATGCATCCCATATAAAGGGAACAATTAAGCAGAAAGATCGCATTTCTCACGTGTGAATCATTAGCCAAGACCTTAAAAACTGTGCAAAATTCAGACCGATCAAAACGAAATTACGTTCATCGCATTTCCAATTTCTTAATTTGACCAAAAATTTTAAGAATTTATGTTATAAGTAAGTCTTCTTCTACAAGTAGAGGATACGATAATCCATAGTCAAAACAAATGTAATTAATAATAAAGGTAAAAAATGGTAATACTTACTATTACATCTGAAGAAGTATCCAATGAAGAAGATGCACATGGCCAAAGCGAAAAAGTTCTGATTGAGAGCGTTGAAGATCGCTGATTCAAAGACCGAAGCTTCGCGGTGGTGTAGATCCCAGCCCATTAGGACAGTACCTAGAGCTATTGGTACTGAAGCTATGAAGAGAAGTCTCATTAGCTGGAAGAAGACCAGATTTGGTTATATTTAGAAATTTAAAATTAGTAAGTGATTTATTGATTACATAATTGATCATATTGCAAATAGGTGCCACAACTTATATGAGTCAGAGCTAGTAGCTAGTGACTGTGAAGCTTTAACATTATTTATTTTAAATAAACAATTCAAAGCTCATATCTTTTTTTTTACTTTTTTTTATTGCAAAGGTGAGTGGACGAGCTCACAGCCCACCTGGTGTTAAGTGGTTACTGGAGCCCATAGATATCTACAACGTAAGTGCCGCCACCCACTTTGAGATATAAGTTCTAAGATCTCAAGTATAGTTACATAAAATATTTGTGTTGTGTTGCAAGTTTTTTGTTAGATTTTTAACAGAATGCCTATGATAAACTTACAAAAGAGCTGCCCAAATCCCAATTTTGGTTCTGGGCTTTTCTATAGAAATAAGCGGTGAGAACTCCTAAATGGTAACCGGCCCAATTTCCTTGCGCTGACACGTAGGCGTGATAGAATGTGTCATTGTAACCGAATATGTCTCTTATGGATCTGAAAATAAGTTGTTTATTACACTGATTAGTTCGATCAAAGCTTTTCTTACGTAACCATTTAATAAGAGTTAGATGTGCCGAAACACTTAATTCTGGAAACTAAAGATAAATTTAATGCGATTTTCGAGAAAGTGATTCAGTTTGTCGATAAGGACTGCGTTTAGGTCACAACAGTATACAAATGGCGAAAATTAAAAATAAATTACATAATTCTTCTCAGTCGTATGCACTCTTGGCAGTGTGGTCGTGGGCATCACTTTGGGTGGTGGTCCGCTTCACCAAAAGTTATATAATACCTATATAAAGTGGATGTATCTATGTTCTCTATAGGCTCATGAACAGATATACCGAATTCGATGAAATTTTTATGTAATGTAATTAAAATTAAATGTAAATGTTTTTTTAACTTTCAACTTCTTCACTTAATACTTTTTGATTTTATTTTGGTGTTCTTTTGTTACCCTTTACCTATTATTAGTTAGATTGCCTATTGTTTGAGTGGCAATTTTCAAGCATCTCAATATTATGGAATTTGAACAAAAGGTTCTACTGTAAATTCGCTTAACAAAACCTACGCATTTATAACGAATACATAAATGACTGCTTTGTTTATCTGACAACCGATCGAAGCGTATTAATTGTTTCCCAAGAAATACAAATTCGGCTATTTTACATTTGAGGAGCATTCAGCCGTTGAATAAAGAGATCGCACGGAATCCTTTCTTAGAAATTTCCATTCTACTGCTATTTAAGGTTCGTCGATTGGATACATTGGTTATTATGTACGCGCAAAAGCATGTCGAACAAAAGGCAGTGGCTCTGGCAGTGAATTATTTGAAGAGCATTGTTGCAGAAAGAGAAACGCCGCTGACTCCGGACTCACTTGGCGTGATTGCTAATTAAGAGGATTAGTGTGAGGACAAAGGCCAATTAGGAAACATGTTTATTTTCTATAAAATGTTCTTTAATGTTCGTTTTAGTCCATGATACATTGTCGTTATTTTCTAACGTCCAAAGTGATGCATACGCTTTTTAATGAAGAAAGTAGGTAAATATTAGAAAATGTGATAAATTTAAGGCCGCTGGTGGCGATTGTATGTTGGGCCAACATACTGGTCTTATTGGGCTAATAGGCTCACCAATAAGATTTGCGGTCTATCTGGTGTTATGTGGTTGCCATAGTTAGGTACTGCCACCTTACCTATTGCTGCTACTTGTAGATGCGTTCTAGTTTTGAGGTCAAGGCAACCGTTGTACAATTGTGATTTAGACCTTATGCTCTATCGGTATTGCAGTATTTATTCATGCGATATCTATTGGCTCCGGTAACAATTCAACTTGCAATAGACAGTGAGATTCTCGTTGTTATAGTTGATATAATCCTCCTCCTCCTCGCGTCGTTTTCCTCATTACTAAGGGTTGTGAATCCCTCGCTGCATCAGTTTCTCTTGTACGATTTTCCTCCATCTGCTGCGATCCTTAGCTTCATAAAGGGCATTGTGGAAGTTGATGTTCAGAGAAGATCGTATAGAAGAAGTTGACATAATATACATGTAGAATTGGGAATTTGTGAATAATTTACAGCTAATACTCACTCCGGAAAAATGCTGACTCTGATGGGGAGGAGTTTCATGAAATAGCTCTGGAGAAACGGTATAAGAAGACTAAGAGCCATGACCACAGACAGAACTGGCACACCGCTTCTTGGCCAACGCCAAATGACCAGCATTATTACCAATGTCATCAAGAATAATTGTGTATCGGTTCCTAAGTACCTGCAAATATAATTTTTTGATTATGTTCAATTAGACTTTGATAAGAATACAGGTAAAATATAATTTTATTAAAATCTCTAAAGCAAATATTGGTAATTCACAAAGAGGCGTGTGTAATAATATTGAGGGTTTTTTTTTCTTAAATTATATTTTCACATTACAACACATATTTGGCAAATCGCGCGCTGGATGGCATAGAGGTGGAACCGGACATGGGCACATATACATATGTATGGGAGTAGTCAGCAGTGATCACGATGAAGCGATTTTTATGAGGCATTGCCCTATCGAAGTAGGAAATCTGTCTTGAAAATTTTATCTATATATTAATACTTTGTACCCCTTTTTACGAAAATTGCGCGGACGGAGGAGTATGAAATTTCCAACACTTCTAGAGAATATAGCGAAGGAATGCAGAATGCTAATTATTTTTTAAAGTATGCATTAATAATACATTAAATCAATAAAAAAAACATTACAAACACTACCATGTATTTGACACATACACAAATGTGTACTTTAAGTTTATTGTCAAACTTTTGTTGCTCTGTTAGTCTGTGGTCAAATTGACAGTAGGATAATATTGTTTATTTGTCTCTAGTAAGTATAAATGTTTAGGTTTGGCTATTTACATATTTCATTAATATAAAATAGTATTGGCAAAGTCGTATCGTTTGAAACGGCTACACAGCGAATCTCAGCCAGTAGACTATGTTGACCTCAAAAGACAATAAAGATTAAAGATAAAGTTACGAAATTATTCCATTAAGAAAACTTAAAACAACACCTTACTATCTGACACAAAGGACAGTTTATAGCAATTGGAGACGCGTGAAAAATTACGCATTTACGCAAACATTAAAGCGTATTGCATGTAATTGCATACACGGATGTACATATGTACAATCATGCGTGGATTTACATGCTAGCGATTTGTTTTGATCCCGCTGTAAAAAGTCGTTAGTAACTGTTTTCCTTATAACGTGTTTAAGAAGTGATTTCTGGATATTACGCAGAGAAACCACCTGAGTCTGTTAGGACGGCGCGATCCTTCGCGTGCGGGCCCTCTCGGAGGAGGCCGTCTCCAGGTGTAGGGTGGCTTTGGCGGTGTCGCTCGATATCGCCAATGCGTTTAACACCCTGCCCTGGTCCGTGATAGGGGGGGCGCTGGAACGACATAGAGTGCCCCCTACCTTCGCCGGCTGGTGGGTTCCTACTTAGAGGACAGATCGGTCACGTGTACCGGACACGGTGGGATCCTGCACCGGTTCCCGGTCGTGCGCGGTGTTCCACAGGGGTCGGTGCTCGGCCCCCTTTTGTGGAATATCGGGTATGACTGGGTGCTGAGAGGTGCCCTCCTCCCGGGCCTGAGCGTAATCTGTTACGCGGACGACACGTTGGTCGTGGCCCGGGGGGGNCAAATTTGTGAAACAGTATTTGTTTCAGAGGCTTTAGCTACAAATCAATAATTTAAAAGTTTTCTAAATGTTGTTAAATCTATTTTCCCAGCTGTTTGTATTTTAACATGGTGTATATACATTTATAATATGATATAAGTTGGATGTTTATATTTACATTTCAAAATTAAGTACATAGATAGATACTTAATCTGGCCTTGATATAAATATAAGTAAACTTAGTTTCCTTATGTGACTGATAAACTTTGGTGTAATCAATGTTTTTTTTTTTAATTACTTTGTATTTATTTTCCATAACACGGAAAAGTTAAGGACCATTTTCTCACATTTTTTTCCTCTTACCTAATCGTTGGTAGCCTAGGGGCTATACCAACTTCGCGCGGACTCGCTCCGATATTTGGGTTTGTGTTTAATAGAAATCCGTGAATGCCACTACCCATCATAAAATAAGAGCTTTGCGTCTTAATTTGCTCTCAGACTATGCTATACTATAATCCGGGGGCCAGGGAGGCGGATACCGCCCAATCCCTGGCCCTCTAAGTGTTTCGGGTCCCCCTCACATGTTGGTCTGGGGACCGGCGAGGGGGGCCTAAGAAGACGTCGTGCAAGCTGCTCTGCACGCGTTTTACGCAAGAGCATCCGGGTGATGGAAGGCCGGCTATCCTCGACCCACGCTGGTTCTGGCCCAGCGGGGTATTCCGTAGGGTAACCCACTCTAACCGGCGCCATCTAGGCGGGATTCAGACAGTCTGCCGACCGAGAGGGCTGGTGGTCGTGGCGCCGACGACCGCCAGTCCGGCGTCCCGAGGGGGAGGGTGATGGGAGAGATGTGCTCCGCACTAAACGCTTCACTTTCCCCCCTTTGCCTTGTCATGAGTTCTGTCTCATGCGAGGTTTGGACGTTGGTTGTTGAGCGACAGGAGGTTTTAGTTAGTTCGACTCTGACATACCCCGCCCAGTATCCCCAGAAAAGGCCGGAAGACCGGCGATTTCCTCCTGACAAAAAAAAAAAAAAAAGAGTGTTAGGACGTTTGCGATTTGCCTAATAAAAATATATATCTTTCTTGAGACATACCAAATCAAAGCTAAATTTTGTTAAAAAATACGGCTAATTACCAAACTACTGATTGTGTTCATTCTTCTTTTGTCCTATTGAAACTAGTCCGGATATTTTAGACTATTAGAACGAAGTTATAAAATTATTGTAATGTCATAAGTTGATTGATGCACGTATAAGTTCAAGTTAATCAGAAGGGTCTTGAAATCAATGATAATAACATTCAAATTTTCCATTACACTTCGAGAAATAAATACCAAGAGAACTATAAAGCGTGCTAATAAAAAAATACAAAAACTGCCTTATTAAAGCCAAGCATGAAAATACTTGGGCTATAAACAAAGATCACGAAACTTTGCGAAATACACAACGAAAATGGTGACGATAATCTTTACCGGTAAATAAACCTTGAGTTGACTGGAAACAGGTACATTTAGCGTTGCGAAATAATACAGCTGATGTTAATCCGCAGAGACAGACTCTTAAAATCATTGTTTTGTTTAAATTCTACGGCGGCAAAGAAGATACGGGTTTTTTTTTATTTTCTATTGCTTTGATGGGTAGACGAGCTCACAGCCCACCTGGTGTTAAGTGGTTACTGGCGCCCATAGACATCCACAGCGTAAATGCGCCACCCACCTTGAGATATAAGTTCTAAGGTCTTAGTATAGTTACGACGGCTGCCCCACCCTTCAAACCGAAACGCATTACTGCTTCACGGCAGAAATAGGCTACCCGTGCGGACTCACAAGAGGTCCTACCACCAGTAAAAAGTGGATTTTCTAGTGTTTTTGTTTTTTATATATCATAAAGCCTAAGTTAGGAAGTGAATAAAAAAACAGATGAGGAGACAATGAACAAATTTTATGGCGTTTTTCAGTAGATGAATATCTGGGACACAATTTTGATAAGATCACGAGGATTCTGCGACCGAAAGTTCAATGGTAACTCTGCCAAATTTATAGGTTTTCGTACAAATTTTATTTCAGTTTTATTAACTGTACTAACAAAAAATATAAAAAATTCAGGCCAAACGTTATCCTGCGCAATAATCTCGTTACATCCGAATAGGCTTTTTGTTCCTAGATAATAATATCGTAATCTAATGACCTCGGGCCGAATTTCTTTGGGATTTCGTTATCAGGGCCGGTCTGAAGTCTGTTTTCTATCGGATTCATTGCTTGACCTGTTCAAGTGACCTTCGCAGAACTTGGCCACCACGCAACCACGCCAAATATTGACTTTTCCCGCTGACTATTTGTATGTGGACGCGAAACGGATCAGTGCGTCTTGAATAATCGCTGCGTCAATGTTTGCTGTGCTATATTTATTTAGATGTTATCAGTTGTGCTCACAGAATAATAATATTACGCGGAGCTGATGGATTCGTAAACTTCTCAAAATATATTGACAAAAATTTAAGTATACTTATTCATGAGAGGTGTTTAATACAACATCCTCTCGCAGGTCTGCTGGATGAGATTTCTTAAAGAAATAAGCCAGTGCCTTTGTACATAATTTTCCTATTACTCTGTACTATGTCTTTTTTTTTGTGTGTACATAAATAAATAAATAATTAATGCTATACAAACTATAGATGAGACATGAGATAAAATTAAATTACTAAAATTACCAACATCAAAGTTCTTGCTACAAAACGCACTCCTATAATCCCGACGCCCTCAGTTAGGACGGCTTTTGCTCGCCGTTTTAGCTCCTACATGAAACCTTACTTATATAACAGACTCAATAAAAAATACAAAATTCTTAACCTAAATTACGAAGAAGTTAAAAGAAAGTTAATAAAAGAACTGCTTAATTGGTCCTACTCTTTTTCGGAGGACTTTCTGAAATGCATTAAGTAACCCTAAACACGTACTTATGGTAAAAATCATTACACCTGTTCCTTTTCTTTATATATATATGTGTATGTGTATATATGTATATGTGTGTGTGTGTATATATATATGTATAATATTTCGCTTAACTATTTTGATTTACTTGTATATTCAGCACCGTTATTACTAGT